GCAGCGACTCAGTCGATCGGCTTACACTTCTACTTATGGTTTGCATCCTTTTCTTTCTCGGAGCTTCTGTATTTTGTGTATTCTAGTGAAATTACAGTAGATAGTATTTATTTACGGAAGATACAACACCTCTGCAGAATACGTTGCATTTCTCACGCTGAGGATGAAGAATACGAAGTCCGTATACACTTCATAGTTTTGTGAAATATATGATTTAGCGTTACGTTCATGTGTCTTCGTTTCGTTGGCATAGAAAAAGCTCTATTCATACAAGGAAATTGTAAATCTCACCGTATTTGTCGATCAACGTAACAATTAATTAATTTTAAGAGCTTAGAAAATCTTCCTGATATTTCAAAAAAAAGTCTAAACATGAAATATTTCTTTCATGGAATTTAAAATTTGTATTTATTTGAGATTTCCTATATGTTGATTTTAGAAAGTCTATAAGTTTTAATGAAAATAAATACTTGAATGGTGGTACATGTTTTGATCGATCATCTTCAGTTGCTCGAATTTTATAATCAGGAAAACTAGCTCTTAGATGTTTAACATCAATAAATGTATCATTCCAATCTAATGTAGGAATTTTATTTTTCATACTAAAAAAAAATGAAAATCAAGTAAAAATAAAAATTTAAATTTTCAAATATTATTTTTTTTTTATTACTTTGTATAATGAGCTGATGCTGGATCACCATAACCTAATATTAAATCTTGTAACCAATCAGGTACAACAGCATTTGTATTCATTAAATCACGTATAGTTTGTAAAACAGCTTTAAAATTATTTTCTTTTGGTTTTCTTCTCATGAATATATTAAATGTATCATAAACATCTTCAGATCCATTTAATGTGTCTTGAATATCAACTTGATATTGATTTGGATCAAGCCATACACGCCATGTACGTGTATCACCAGAGAAAACTGGTCTTTCATCAACACCTTAAACAAAGGAGAAAAGAAAAAAACAAAATATTAAAAATATTTCATTAAATTAATTCAATTCATAAAAAAAAAATTTCATTTTACCTTCTTCAATAACTCGTCCATCAATATTTAACATTCCTTCAATTTCACAACCTCGTACATATGTAAGACCAACTTGTGGTATAAATGATTGTCGATAATCATATGTTGTTCCAACTTTTGTTAATGGTTTACATGTAATTAAAAAACAAATATCATGTCGACGTAAATTTTCCCATTCTTGTTTTATATTTGCACGTGTATTAAGTACAAGTGTAATATCAGCTCGAACACGACTTGGATGTAATTCACCAATATTTGCTTTACTAACTTCAACAATAGTAAAATTTGTTATAGATTGTGCCATACGTGACCAACCACCAAATATACATTGTTGTTGTGTTTGATCTGTTTTTTCATTTATTATTGTTGCATCATTTTGCCATGGTTTCATACGACTAACAGAATCTTCAATATCTTGACGAATTTCATATGTTGATTCAAGACGAAATAAATGAAAATTACGTAAAAGATAATCATGTAATGTAAGAAATTGTAAATTTAATTTTGGTAATGCTAAACATGTTTCACCATTATAAAATTCTGTTGGAACAATATCTTCATCCCAAATTGTTTCTTCAGTTGGATATAATGGTAAAGTATTAATAAGCTAGAAAAAAAATAATATTAAAAATTAATTAACTAGTTTAATTATAATCAATGATTATATAAATATTGTTGAAAGAGAAACGAACAATTTCAAAAATTGAATTAATTGTTTGCTTTGCAAAAAGAAATGAAATAATCACAGTTCTATAGAGTCATTCATATTGTTCAATATAAAAGAAGAACTTAAGCATGCTCATGTTTTCAATCTGTATTTGTTTGAGAAAGTAATAAGTCTCTGGCATTTTAGCAGGAAGGAATTCAGGAGATCGCTTTCTCTGTCAAAACATTAGAATACTTGAATGACTAACGAAGAGAATCATCTGAATTGGTACCCGCCGTTTGTGTTTATATTGGAACTATAAAGATACCTTAGTGGCACTAAGAAAAATCTAAAAGAATTCTTCTTCGTGGATCTTTGGAGTCGAGTTATGATCAATTTACTGAAGTTTTGCTCACAGATAAGTCTAGTGATCGACAGAATATCGTGAAAGTTTCACTCGAAAAGAATGTTCTTTTATTGAAATGTTGAATTTTCAAATAAATTCGATTTCTATATCATGCTTGTGACAAGGGAATGTTTTTTGAAAATTTAATATCTCAATAAAAGAATATTCTTTTCGGCTGAAACTTTCTCCGAATCATTAGACCTACCCCTGTAGACAAAATTTCACACTCAAATTCAATTTTTTGATATTTCAGTAAGCATTCGGAGCTGGATTGGAAATTCAGTAAAACGATCCTAACTAACCTTCAAACACCCATAAAGACAAATCATTTTGGACTTTTTCTAGTCTAATCGAAACTTCCTTCTGAGTCCAATATGAGCTCAAACAATGTATATCAGTACAAATGGTTTCCTGGTAAGTAGAAGTAAAACGTACAGAATATCTGTTACTGTTGAAATACACGCTGTTTTACACTTTACTGAAGAAGTCTACATTTTAATTCCAGATGAATTAAAAGCTGTATGCAATACCAAATTAAAACTTATGTTTTTTACAAACACTAATGAAAAAGTTAGTACGTGTATTTACTACTTATCAGTTTGCTAAATGTTAGTTTACATTTTCCATTCAAAGAAAAAGAAATACGAAAAATTAGTTTTTGTTTTTTTGAAGTGTGAAAAAAAAACTTAATTTTTGTACATTTTTCTGAAGAAAAGATAGTTTAAATATACACATTGATCGTTAAGTATAAGAAAATATTTTGTATTTCATTTCTATTAGAAACACTAGTAAAGATTGAAGTTTTCATAAGTCGTATCATAACCCAGTAATAGATTAGTTATCAATTCAAATTCTTTTAAAGATCTAGTCAATTAATTATCACAACACGATTCGATTGCTTATAACTTTTTAAAAGTAGACCATAGAAAATGCAGCAAACCTTCATTTTATTCAGGATTTCGTACTCTTTAAGATGATACTCTAAAAAAATAATTTTCATAAAATTCTCTTGCATATGAAAATTACCATGTTTAATTTTTTAGAGAACTTCATTGGATATTCAAATTATTAGTTGGATTTGAGTTTAATACTTGATATAATAGAAAGAAAAAAATACATCAGTCTGATATTTTTGATTAATCTTGTAGAATAAATTTCTTTATCGAATTTTGCATAAATTCAAAAAACAAAATTTCTATATTTGATTTCTGTTCTGAATTATTTTAGAATTAAATTTCATTGAATTAATCTTACTTCTAAATGACTTTGAATTTTTTCATGTTCTGATATAAGTACTTCAATTAAAAGTTCTCTATTATTAATTTGAATTGGTGGTTGAAGTGATAATGAAATAGATTTTAATTGTTCATCACTTAATTTATCAAATTCATCATTTAATATTTCACGTTTATCAATTGTTTGAATATTTTGTAATGGAAATGTTGGCATTTCATCTCGAAAATGTTTAAATATAGCTTTTTGTAATTGTAAAACTTTTTCATAATGTTTTTCCATCATTTCATTTTGTGTTAATGTTTCACCAGTTGTATCATTTATTTCAAAATTTGAATAAAATTTAAAATTAGTTAACATTTTATGAAATAAATTTGTTGTTTTAGTTGTTGCTTGTTGTTCTATTTCTTCTTCACCATTTTCTGTTTGAATTTTTTTTCTTATTGATGTTTGTATAAATTCAATATCCATATTTTCATTATTTTTTATTAATGATTTAATAAATGGTGATAAAAAACAACGTATAACAAAATTAATATTATCAAGAACAATATTAAAAAATCGACGTGTTGGTAATTGAACAATAATATCAGTAAATAATTCAAGAAAACGTTCAGTATAAATAACTGTTTCAAATGGATATTGATCAGTATTATTTATTGATTGAATATTTTCAATAAGTTGAAGAAATTTTTCAGCTAATTTTCGAAGAAATGTTCGTTCGAATATTGTTGTTTGAAGTTCTTCATTTTCTAATTTTTCATCTTTTTTACAAATTAATTTCCAAAGTTTACGAAATTTTGGTGTTTTTTCAAATTCATATTCTCGTCTTTCCTATATTATTATAAATAT